CAGAACCTTCCTTGGACTTCTCCGACTCCCGATACTTTGCGAAGACATCATACACAGTCGATCTCGGATACCCGAAAAACCGAATGATTTCTGTCGCCGAGCGCCCGGCGCGAATACTTTCGATAATCGCGGCTCTTCGGTTGTACTCCGTACTGGGTTTCAACATTGCGACTGTTTCGAAGTTATGGTAGTTTAGTACATGCGTCAAGCTATTTGAATGCCAATCGCGACATCTGCCAATGGTACTGAACGGAGGGAATATCAAATTGAAATTTGTCCGGATTTTGGCGACGCACCCTGTATAGGAATAATCAAAGAAACACAAGCGTCATCGCTAGATACATCTAAAGTTGCCTCATAAAAACTTTGCAATATGTTTACAATATTCATGCATAATTCCCATTCCGCGTTATTAAGAGTTTCTATTTTTCCGCGTTCGATACTATAAAGTTTGATGGCATTTTTTTGTTCAACGAGACGTTCTAACATAAGGAATGTGCTGTTCCATCTAGTTTCGATATCTTGTTTTAACGAATGCTGTGAAATACCCGTGGTCTCTTGACATTTGGACAAATATCTAGATGCTTGTTCACTGCGTTTGAAATGTCCCACAATCTTTCTACATTTTCGTATGAGTATTTCCACATCTTCTTGGAAAAAAATAGCATCTTGTATTATTAACTGCAGGGTATGAGCCACACATCCCAATGCAGAAAATTCTGCAATACGTGTGACGCAATTCATGTTAGCAGCATTGTCTCTTATTGCTATATGGATTTTGTTCCTAATATTGTAGCTCTCCACCAATTCAATAAGCTTTTGAGAAATATAGTAACCAGTATGATCTTCTTCTAAAACACTAGCACCCAAAATCACTTTTAATCTTTGAGGTCCTAGAATAAAATGTGCTGTGAAACTTAATAATGAACAAGTTTTTGCTGGATTTGACCAAATATCTGTAGTAAAACTGATCCATTCAGCTTGACAAATCAAATCATTAACTTTTGCTTTTACTTTATCATAAGTTGGAGGCATTAAAGTTGTGCGAAAATAGTTTTCAGATTTAAATTTGTATTTGCTTGGTTTAGCTGGATCTGCAAAGTTTAGCCTTTTAAAAGCATTACTTTCTACAGTAGAATATGGCAACATGTTAACAATTAAAAAATCCATTATTGATTTATCAATTTGTTGTGAAATTTCATGATTATCCAGCCAGAATAACTAGCATTACGTTTAATCAAAGTAGGGATTGTAAGTTGGATATTACGTGTCAAGTTAGTTCCAAGTGTTTCATGCTCTACATTAGTTTCTGACTCTTCTTGTGTTTCATAATATCTAATAAAAATAAATCAAACATCAATTGAATGAAATTGATTGTATGTTACTTCTCGTGAAATATGACAGTATAAGGGAACGGCCAATACGAGATAAAACCAAAGTTCGGCCAGATTCTCGTATTGGCCGTTTCCTTATACTATCAATTGAATGATTAAATTGAATTACATTATTTTAATTATAAGTATAAATTTTGATTATAAATTGCTTTAAAATGTTATAAATATAAAACAGTAATAAACAAACCTTTTTAAATATTCTTTATATTGTTCAGAGTGAAATTTCAAAAGATGCTGTTTTAAACCATGCACTGTTTGGTTTTTAGCCTTGTCGCTTCCAAGAGATAAAAATTTAGAACATATATTACATTGAGCTTTGGCTGGATTAGTATCAGACTTGACGAAATAGTTCCATATATAATTTTTCTTTCGCATGATAACCTGCAAACGATTATACCTTAAGACTTATTGATTCCTGAATTATTTATTTTATCTAGTTATTGATTTGTAACTGTAATAAATTAAATACTTTTATTTGGTGAGATTCCGAAAGATTATGTCAATTAGGAGGTTATGCTTTCAAGACAACGCAGATCTAGATAAAGTTCCACTTGGCGCTCGAGACAATCGTGAGCATAAGCTGCGTCTACATTGTCCAATTGCATTGATCATTAATTTGATAAATCGACTAGTGCGACAAAACATCGTAACTTGATCTACACTCGCGATCGTCGCGAGCGCCAAGTAGAATTTCCTTACAGAGATACAAAAAATAGATTTCGCATAATGCAAAATCTTATTCGCATAATCGCCGCAGTAGCGCTGACCAGTGTATTGCGAATTTGTAAAGTTTCGGCTACACTANCGAAACTTTCTTTTTACTTTTGGCCGAAACCGAAACCAAGCCGAAACTACGATTTTTGGCCGAAATTGGCCGAAACCGAAACCGAAACCGAAGTTTCGGTCGGACTCTAGTCAGCTGGTTAAAAAGAGAGCCATTTGCTAACTTTTTCAAGTTTTTCATTTACTAGATACTACCAATTACTCACATTACTAATTATTACTGTATCATCCGTATATGAAATAATTTCTCATCTAATGTCTTAAAAAGATCATTTATGTAAAGAATAATATAGGGCCAAGTATTGTGCCTTGAGGAACTTCACAATTTATCATTCTAACATTACTATTAACTTTGTTTACCTTACTATTTGAGATCTATTTAATAGATAATTCCTGAAAAGTTCCTCTGGAATTTCTCTGACACCCAGCTTATCTAACAATTTTTCGTGATTGATTGTGTGAAATGCTTTCGCTAAGTCCAAAAATACTGCAATAGTACGTTTACTTACATCTAAACTTTGATATATATAGTCTGTTATAAAAGCTAAGGCATCACTTGTTGATTTTTTCTCTGAAAAACCAAACTGCATTTTATCAATTAAATTGCATTTTTTTATAAAATTAATCAATCTTTTTTTCAAAGGTTTTTCAAATACTTTTGCTATATTCGATATTAGAGATATTGGACGATAGTTAGTCGCTTCAGTAGGATTGATACCCTTATATATAGAAATTATTTGTGCACATTTAAAGTGATCTGGGCAGGGTTTCCAGTTTCAAAACACCTATTTATAATAATAGACAGTGGTAGAGCTATATATTCTTTGATTAAGATTAAAGTTCTTACTGATATTTGGTTTATACCTGAGGCAGCATTTTTGTTAAGTTACCTATATACTCCATAATCTCCACTGGGTCAGTAGGCAATAAAGCTATTATATTTATATTGGTCTTATTATTATGCGAGTAGTCAGTTGGGAGCGTTATTCTCTTAACCATCTTTACTCCTATGTTACTAAAGTAGTTATTCAAATAATTAGCAATTTCTAAATTATTATTTGTCAAATTTCCTTCTATATTTATACTTTCTATCTAATTTAAGCTCTTCTTTTTCCTTCTATCTATTTGTTCATTTATGTAATTCCAAATTTTTTTATTGTTATTCGAATTTTTTTCAAGTACTTTTTTGGTATGTTCATTTTTTGCCTTTTTAACGATCTTACCTAGTATTTTCGAATTATTCTTATAGTTTTCTTTCAATACGATATTATTAGGCTCTTTTTTACACTTTTCATATAATTTTTGCTTTTTAGCACATGAGATTATAAGGCCATTGGTTATCCAATCTTTTCTAGCATGCATCACATCTGGCATACTACCATGATCAATAAATAACCGGAATTTATTCATAAAAAGAAAAGTACATGTTTATTCTTCAAAATTCAAGTTGTCCTTTTCAAAGTAGTCCCCGTCGGCTGCGATGCACTTGTGCCAGCGTTTGATCCACCCCTCGAAGCTTTTCTGGAA